AGCTAAATTAATGAGGAGCAGTACATCCCCTTTATATATCCAGCTGCATGCCAGGTGACTTGAGCTGCTAAGAGAATCCTGTAGCACCTTTCTTGCCTTTCTTGTTTGCCCACTCATTCCCTTCAGGCTTATCTTGCCAGTACAGAAGGGACCTTTGCAACAACCACACACTGAAGCCAGGAGTGCTGGCTGACAGACACCAAAAAAAAACCAGAAAAAACACACAAAAAGAAAAACCACAAAAGCAAACCCAAAGTGCCTTATGAACAGTAAAACAAGAAAACTGCAGGCCTTCGATTTTTCATCCTGATCATTGAGGCTGATCATAAAAATTGCCTGCTTTGCCTCCTGGCCTCAGTCCTAATCCCAGTATACGGACGAGTTTGGCCCAAGTCAGACAGCCCATCCCAGAACAACTCTGCAGATGTCTGTCCTGGTGAGTCCTGGCAAGATGTCACATGAGGCCAGATTGTAGATAAGAAAGCACCCCTTCCCTGCTACTTTCAGTAGAAAGTAAGGGGCTAACCCCCCCTGAGAAACTGGTCCTTCATGCCTGGTGTACGAAGCAACTTCTGCTTCTCGTACTTAACAATTAAAGGAAAGTGTTCTCCTAAATCCCTGTCCCTGCTGAAAACTAATTTCTTGCAGCTAGGATGGGAACCTGTCACCCTGCAAAATGCTGTATGTAGCTGTCCACTGGATTACTATACCACAAATAGACTGTTAAACATTACTGACGTTATATTAAGCTTTCCCCTATATATATAAATATCCCAACAAAAAAAAAATAATTTCTACTCTTTAGATACCAACCGTTACCTAAGGTCTGTGGGGTGAAAGCAGTCAGAGTGCTCTTAAGTGTGTCCTGTAGCTGTGGGTTTATGAATTCCCTGCTTTTCTTCACCATTTTCCCCTGGCAATGCCACACAACAGTTGTTCAGTGTAGGACTCCATGAAAGGACTCCAAAATTCTGCCCAAATTTGCTGCTTCGTTATTTTGATACAGTGACTGCCAGACATTTTGACACAGTGAATGTAACATAGTTTTAGCTGGGTCTCTCAGCAGCTCATTACAGG